TACACAAAAGGCACTACAAACTATGATGGAATACAAACTTTGAATTGGTTGATATTTAGAAATACCTCATATTTTGAGTAAAACATTTTTGATTTATATTTAAAATATCAAATGAATTTATTTAGATCAGAATATGTATATTTTGACTGTTATTATATTTCTTTATTTTCAATGGTGTAATCAATTCTTGTCACATGGACGGTAGATGCATAAACGTAATACTATGAAAATATCACACTATATTGTTTTATCGGATGTATTAACTTCCATAATAATATTAAAGCCAAGTGTTAATGGATGGGATTCATAGATTTGCAGTATATCATAAATATCAATATTCGATGTTACGAGTGTTGAAACTCCAAATTCTATGAATAATTTCACAAAAAACTTTGTATCTATTGATAATATTCTAGTGGGTTGCTTAGTAAGTAATAGATACTGGTATGAAAAATGGCATAAAATGATTGATAGATGTTTGTGAATTTTGGACAAAATACTGTAAAATGCTTCAAACATCCTTGAGTTTGGTTCTTATCATTGTATAGACTGAGTAAGAGTTTAAAATGTAGTTTAGGCAAAGATTCTAATTAATGAGCAACTAATTACTATTGGAGTAGTTTAATCATATTTCTCACTTCTGAACTATTGGATTCCATTCATAAAAACTCTCCTTGGGATTGATAATTGTTTATTTAAATTTTATAAGAATGCTCATCAATTTTTATTTTTTGAAAATTTTACCCTTCAGCAAATGGGGAGAAGACCAAATAAGTGTTACAGGACTTTAAATAAAAAAGCATATATAAAGTCAAGGTTTTGCCGTGGAGTTCCAGAGAGTAAGTTGGCGATTCATGACCTTGGGAATCGGAAAGCCCCGTCTGAGGCATTTCCAGTCAGAGTGAATCTCATTTCACTTGAGAGAGAGCATTTGAGTGCTGAAGCCTTGGAGTCGTGTCGTATTGCAGCTAACAAATACATGGTAAAGACTCTTGGCAAGGAGAATTTCCATATGAGGATTTGCCCACAGCCTTTGAATATTCTCAGGATCAACAAGATGTTGACATGTGCTGGTGCAGATAGATTGCAGACTGGTATGAGAAATTCGTTTGGTAAGCCTTATGGGCGTGCAGCAAGGGTATTTGTTGGGCAGCACATAGTTGATGTCAGAACAAAGGAGGGAAATACAGATGTGGTCAGAGAGGCATTAAGAAGAGCCAGAAATAAGTTGCCAGGAAAGCAGCTGATCCAAAATTCCCAAAAGCATGGATTTACTGGCTTGTTTAGAGATGAGTACGATGAACTGAAGGCGAACAAGAGACTTCTTTCGAGAGGGGTTAGTGTATCGGTTATAAGAGAAAAGGGAAATATTGAGAATTTCCTGAGCAAAGTTTCAAAAGCACTTTAATACATTCTTAGATTTAATCCAATATTTGTTTTCTAGTTTGATCACACTCGATTGAAAGTGTGAATCTTGATTATTTCTTTTGCCTTTTAATTCCATCTGTATATACAGAGTTTTTTTGAGTCTTTGAACTTCGTTTTTCTTCTTTTAGAGCCCCCATAAATGTTTCTGAATCCAGAGAAACCCTTCTCAGTTTTCAGCAATAAGGGTAAGCTACAGCAATGCAACAATTAATCCCGAGGACATCAATGTTGAAGTTTTTTTGTCCAAAACCGGAGAATTTAAAGTGTATGATTGAGGGTATCAAGGAGATATTTGAATCAATTGAAGAATAAATTTCAGAAATTACTTGAGATTGTTATATGTGTTCCAATAAACCTTTTTCAATTTTAAGAAGCTTCATTGGTTGAGCCATGTGATTTTGGATTATTATTTATGATAAATGGACATCTCCAATAATTAATATTCACTGAAAATATAGATTTTATTTTGAATATTGTCTAAAGATAGTATTACATTGGGAATAACCTCTAATTGAGGTAACTATGGAAATTCCTCATGAAAAATATGTTATTCATACAACCAACAGTACCTCGTTATATTGCAGTTTAAATTGAAAAGTTGAAGAACCACTGTAAATGAACTTGTTTGCGACAATCTTATAACATGTTTCATTATGGAAATAAAGTCTTAATATTAGTTAGTCAGTTATGAGAATCATATCCCAGTATATAATGCTTATACAAATATTTAATAGATTGAATTTATTAAAATTCCTTATCTATATCACCATGGTAATTTTTTAAGCATATAATATAATTCGCCTCTAAGCACATATATAACTGAAATACTACTACTGATGCTGATGGTTAAAATCATAAGATACAATTCTTCAGGTAATAGTGCATAAAAAATACATGTTTGTAACCAGACTGAATAGATAGCTACGAGTATAAAAAAGCCATTAAATAATATGCTTCCTAGTGAATATTCATTTTCTCTACGTATTCTTATAAATCCTGATGGATATTTATTTTCTTTACATATTCTTAGAATGATTGCTAAAATAAAAATGAATATATTGAATATTAGTAAAAATTTAAAAAAATAAGTAGCATTTGTAAAAGCAATAGCATCATTAAACCGTTTAGAAAATGAATAAAGCTCGTCACCTATAGCTGTACCATTTCTCATTGAAGTATCATATTGGACTGTAGGTTCGGTAAGATTCTTGGTTGTAGAAGCAATATTGGTGATGGTTGTAGTGATATTAGACTCCATATAAAGTGGCAAATTATCATCAAGTGGAGGCTGAAGAGTCTCTAAGATATTTCCAGTTACTAATTGAAAAATAAATGTCAAAAGCATGGGTGAATTTCAATTTAATTAAAATATTTCCCATTTGAGAAAATCATCAAATTGATTTTCTGATTTAGCAATAATACATCTGGGCATGATTCCTCCATCATATGACCTTGAGTATTATAAGAATCATGTTCAATTGCATTAAATAATGGTTGATGAAACTTATAATATTGAGATCAAATTATCCGTTAATTACTTATCTACAACCTGATATCAGTTCATGACAATCATTGTCATTACATTTATTTAATAGCTGTATAAAAATCTACTTGCTTCAAAATAAAGTTTTAATATTTAATATTAGTTAGTCAGTTATGAGAATCATATCCCGGAATTAATGTATACAAATCTATATTGAATGAATTTAATTTATTAAAATCATTTCTTATATATTTATATAAGTTCCTCATTAGTTGGTAATCTCAAATACTTGGAGATCCTGGAGAATATCCTGTCCTTGAATACAAATATAAATGAAATAACAAGAGTGAATATGAATGATACTGCTAGACTGTAAAATCCAGGTAATAACACATATAAAACGCAGGTTTGTAACCAGATTAATAGAATAAATATAAGCACATAAGAGAGTTCAGGTATTATTATCTCTCTTTTTGATGAATATCTGTATTCTCCACGCTTACGCACTTTTATAGCTACTACTGTTATAGCTACCAAAAGAATAATGGCTATATTGACCATAACCATAATTTTAAAATACAAGGTAACATCTATAAAGGTAATAGCTTCAATAAATTGTTTAGAAAATGAATAAGCCTTCTCACCACTCTGAAGTGGCATAGAGAGAGGAGGTATTTCTTCAGGCAACCTACAGAGAGGTATTCCAGTATTAGAGGATGTTTCAGAACTACACTGAGATAATCCTCTAGGTACCCTACAGAGGAGTGTTCCAGTATTAGAGGATGTTTCGGGACTACATCTAACTCCCATAAAAGAAGGATTTGATCCTTCAGGTATCAAACAGAAAAATGCTTTACCATCATCGCTAGAAGTTGTGTCTTGATAACAAGCATAAGGATAGGATGCTCCAGAACTCTCTGGTGTTTTAGGATTACAGCTGAATGTACTACCATTGTGGGGTACTGTTGTATCACAGATATAATATGCTGGATTTGGAGGGGGGGTATTTGTTGAACTGGTATAGTTACAGATCGATGCTTTCTTCCCATATTCTTCCAACATCTTAGGTTTACAATCCAATCTGGCAGAATCAGAATTCTCAGGTATTTGTACACAGTGCAGTTCATCTTCAAAAGATATTTTTTTATCACAGAGAAATTTTTTACCAATAAGATCCTGATGTGAGTTATTATCGATCTCACCACAGATGAATCTATCATCATGGAGAGGTGGATCACGGGAATGTGGACCATAGAAAGGCTGTTTACCAGTATAACAGGAAACACTTCTAGATATTGGATGTGGTTGATCATTACTACAGCGCCATACACCAGCATCCGCATCATTACAGTTAAGTGTTTCAACATAGGGGGTTGCTGTAATACTAGGATTCGTATGGGGTGACAAATTATCTCTAGATGATATAGAGGAAGAAAGTATTTCAGTATTAGAAGATGTTGTATCTGGAGTAGTAGTAGGTATTGTTGGACTTAGAGTAGGAGTATCAGATGTTGTATACTTACAGGACAATATTTTATTATCCATAGGTTCACAATCCAACCTGGCAGCACCAGACGATGTTTCTACACAGTGCAATTCGTTATCGAGAGATATTTTGCTATTGCAGCGAAAGTCTTTATTAGCAACATCTGGAAACGAACCAGTAATGTTGGCACAGGAGAATGTATCACAGATTTCACCAGATTCACCTGATGATTTATTAGCACAGTAAAAAGATTCTTTTGGTCCATAATAATAACTCACAGTCTTATCATAATTATACTGGGTATGTTTAGTATTAATATTACTATCACAGAACCACCAGGTAGGATTCTTACCACAGGACAATGTGGTACTAGGAGGTTTATGTTCACAATTAAATACTTTAGCATTGGAAGATGTTGTTGCAGTACTAGGATCCACATGAGGTGGCAAATTATCATCAAGTGGAGGCTGAGGAGTCTCTAAGATATTTCCAGTTACTAATTGAAAAATAAATGTCAAAAGCATGGGTGAATTTCAATTTAATTAAAATATTTCCCATTTGTGGCAAATACCAAAATTGATTTTCTGATTTTGTAATAATACATCTGGGCATAATTCCTCCATCATATGACCTTGAGTATTATAAGAATCATGTTCAATTTCGTTAAATAATGGTTGAGGAAACTTGTAGAATACTTATGAGGTACATCTGATATTGTCAGTTACAATATCGGGATCAAATTATCTGTTAATTACTTATCTACAACCTGATATCAGTTCATGACAATCATTGTCATTACACTTATTTAATAGCTGTATAAAAATCTACTTGCTTCAAAATAAAGTTTTAATATTAGTTAGTCAGTTATGAGAATTATATCCTGGAAATAATGTATACAAATCTATATTGAATGAATTTAATTTATTAAAATTCATTTCTTATATATTTATACAAATACCTCACTAGTTGCTGTCCTCAAATACATGAGAAATGTCTCATACTTATTGAATAACCTATAAACGAAATAACAATAGTGATCCCAGATGATACTGCTGAACCAACACCTCCAGGTAATAACGCATATAAAATACAAGTTTGTGGCCAGATTAACGAAATAAGTATAAGCACACGAAAGAGTTCAAGTATCTTTCTTTTTAATGAATATCTATTTTCTCTATATACTATAGCTACCAAAAGAATAATGATTATATTGACCACAACTGTAGCTTTAAAAAGAAAAGTAACATCTATAAATTTAATAGCTTCAATAAATAGTTCAGAAAATGAATAAAGCTTGTCACTTATAGTTGTACTCATTTCCACCGTTGAAGTATCATATTGGACTGTAGATTTGGTAAGATTCTTGGTTGTAGAAGCAATACTGGAGATGGTTGTTGTGATATTAGACTCCATATAAAGTGGCAAATTATCATCAAGTGGAGGTTGAGGAGTCTTTAAGATATTTCCAGTTACTAATTGAAGAATAAATGTCAAAAGCATGGGTGAATTTCAATTTAATTAAAATATTTTGGTATGATTCCTCTATCACATAACCTTGAGTATTATAAGAATCATGTTCAATTTCGTTAAATAATGGTTGAGGAAACTTGTAGAATACTTATGAGGTACATCTGATATTGTCAGTTACAATATCGAGATTAAATTATCTGTTAATTACTTATCTACAACCTGATATCAGTTCATGATAATTATTGCAATTACATTTATTTAATAGTTGTATAAAAAATCTATCTACTTCTAATGTACTTTTATTAATATCCTATTCTTATCAATTCAACAATTGCTTTGATCCAAATTACTTGGCACTCATCAGAAATAATTAGATCCAAATCCGACTTCATGCTTTCGTCAACCACCATCACACGCTTGCATATAAACTCCATGGTCTGCAGTAGTTCAATCGGAATGCTATTCTGGTCAACAGAATCAAATGTGGAAAGTGCATTTAAATATCTCTGTTTCTTCTGATTTATAAGCATCGAGTTTTTATTTGCAACCTTTGACTTGACAGTATGGATTAGATTGATGAAGTTTCTCAGTATAGCTGATGAATCTAAATTAGCACCGCTGTTGTTTTGAATGGTTGTTGAGTTATTTATCTGTGGAGGCCTAATATTTGAAATAGGAGGCTTATTGATGTTACCAGTTTGTTGATTAAAATTTCTAGATGGTTGATTTATTGGGTTCAACAGATTGTTTTGACTATGTTGCTGAGGAGTTCCACCAGCCTGAGGAATAGCCCTGTTATTTCCAATATTTGGGGATTTTGGAAAGTTAATTGGAATTCCAGGCCTTTGAGGTGCTGATCCCATAAATGGGGATTTTGGAGGGGTAGGAATAGTGTTGTTCACACCATTGTTACCAGTATTGTTCATACTATTTATTGGGTTGGGTCTGCTTGGAACTGATCCCATAAATGGTGATTTCGGTGGTTGAGAAATAGTTGATCTGGTGGGGATAACATTTGAAGACTGATTCATAGTAATACCTCCTGAGTTCTGGATAGGTTGTCTTGAATTGTTTATTGGCTGAATATTAGTCATTGATTTCTCATTGTTCATAAGTGGGCGATTAAAATGATTTGGAATATTAGGATTACTTGTATTCTGTTGGGGGATATTACTGGGCCCTGGAAGATTACTATTCTTTAATCCAGGCTGAATAATACCATTAATCTGTCTGGTAGGTGCTACATTATTAGGCCGACTTGGTTGAGAAATACTACCCAATACAGGCTGATTAATGGCACCTACACTAGTATGGTTGATATCACCCACTGATCTACTTAAATTAGAGATATTATTTATGCCAATAGGCTTATTGGGACTGATAGGTTTATTGAGTTGCATATTTTCTTTGATGTTTATATTTCTCAACTCTGTAACTACTCCATTTGTGTTGTTTGCAGATACCTGTCCTGAAATATAGAACTGAATATCCTCTTCGGCTGTAACTAAATACTTCACCTCATCAAATTTACCTGTAGAAACTTTATACCAGAAATAGTCAACCAAGTAATCTGACTTGATATTATCTGAGATTAATTTGGTAG